GCTAGGCTTCATCTTTGATTAACTTCGGCCTACCCACTAGGAGCAATCTGGTGCAGTAATTGTCTCTCAGGCTCACATTAACTCTTTCACCATCAGAGTGGCCTCAAAGGGTATGTCTACACTACCCCCCTAGTTCGAACTAGGGGGGGTAAAGTAGTCATATGAAGTTGCAAATGAAGCCCGGGATTTGAATTTCCCGGGCTTCATTTGCATAAAGCTGGCCGGCGCCATTTGTAAATGGTGTAGCCACGCGGCACGGACTAGCTTCCTAATCCGAACTAGCTGTACGCCTCGTTTTATCCACGAGGTGTACGGCTAGTTCAGATAGGAAGCCTAATCCGCGCGGCACGGGGTCCGACCTAGCCGGCATTTAAAAATGGCACCGTCCAGCTTTAAGCAAATGAAGCCCGGGAAATTCAGATCCCAGGCTTCATTTGCAACTCCGTATGACTACATTACCCCCCCTAGTTCGAACTAGGCGGGTAGTGTAGACATACCCAAAGTGAGTGTAAATGAGTTTACTCAGTGTAACCCATTCTTAGTGTAAATGAGTATTAGGGCCTGCAAGTGCACATCTTTCGATGGGACTGGACATGTATTGTATAGGAGTCGGTGTTTCCTTGAAAAGTGTTTCAGCATGTTTGGACATGTATTATACATGCTGTGTACTTGCATGGGGGGAGTGCATTTGCAGTTATGGCATGTGTGTGAGGGGAAGATGAGTGTCTCTCAGGGTATGTCTACACTACAGCGCTAGTTCGAACTAACTTAGTTCGAATTAGTTAATTCGAACTAAGCTAGTTCGAACTAACGCGTCTAGAACTAAAAACTAGTTCGAACTAGCGTTTTGCTAGTTCGAACTAGCAAGTCCACATTGAGTGGACTCTGAACAGGGCTTAAGGATGGCCGGAAGCAGTGCCGGCAGGGCATAAAAGGAGGACTTAGAGCATGGAGATGCTGTCTCAGGCTAGCCGAGGGCTGCGCTTAAAGGGTCCCGACCCCCACCCCGGACACACAGTTCTAAGGGGTGCCCCGCTTGCAAAGAAGTTCTGGCTTGGAGTGCCCTGAGTGCCCACACTGGGCACATCACACCACTCGGCCATCAGCCCGGCTGCACTTGCCGCAGGCTGCCATCTGGGGAGAGGGAGTAATTGGGGGGCTGCAGGAGAGCTTCCACCCCCAGAAGCCCGCAGAGCCAGCCCAGTCCTCCCCATCGGGGGCTCATACCCCATTCCTCCCTCACCTCCTTCCACTTACCCTTCCCTAGCCCCCCTTCTTATTGATGTACAAAATAAAGATAACGTTTCTTCCAACATTGACTCTGTCTTTATTGAAAAAAAACTGGGGGAGACTGGGAAAAGGAGGTGGGAGAGGGGAAGAGAAAGGCTGGGAGAGGGGAGGGCAACTAACATGATCAGGGGTTGGGAACAGGTCCCAGATGAAGAAAGGCTACAGAGACTGGGACTGTTCAGCTTAGAAAAGAGGAGACGGAGGGGGGACAGGATAGAGGTCTCTAAAAGCAGGGGTTGGGTGGAGAGGGTGCATTCAGAAAAGTTCTTCCTGAGTTCCCATAAAGAAGGACTAGAGGACACCAAAGGAAAGGAATGGGTAGCAGGCTTGAAACTAGTAAGAGAAAGTTGTTGTTCTTGACAAAGCAAATAGTTAACCTGTGGAACTCCTTGCTGCAGGAGGCTGTGAAGGCTACAACTAGAACAGAGTTTAAAGGGAAGTGAGATCAAGTCATGGAGGTTGGGTCCATGGAGTCCTATTAGCCAGAGGGTAGGAGTGGTGTCCCTGCCCAAAGTTTGTGGAAGGCTGGAGAGGGATGGCACGAGACAAATGGCTTGGTCATTGTCTTCGGTCCATCCCCTCCAGGGTCCCTAGGGTTGGCCGCTGTTGGCAGACAGGCTACTGGGCTAGATGGACCTTTGGTCTGACCCAGGACGGCCATTGTAAGCTCAGGGCTCAGGGTCGGGGGTCTCAGTGGACCCCCTTGATTTTCATGCACACCTGGTCCTGGGTGGCCAGGCTGGCAGCTCTCCTGCCCTAGACGGCCACTTTCCTGTGCCTAGTGCAGAGATCGTGGACAAGGTCCATTATGTCTGCACTAGCCCAGGAAGGTGCCCACTTCTTGCGGTCCTGGGCAAGCTCCCGGGAGCCGCCAGCCTGGGCCTGGGCAGGCTTGCACCTGGCACGGGCACCGTAGCCAGCCCGTGCCCCTTTAAGGGGTCCGGGGCCGGGAGGGGGGCATAGAGTTTCCCTGGTGTTGGCCAGAGTGGCCACCAGGGAAACCTGGGAAGCCTTAGCCTCCCACTAGTTCGAATTAAGGGTCTACACAGCCCTTAATTCGAACTAGCTCGTTCGAACTAGGCTTAATCCTTGTAAAATGAGGTTTACCTAGTTCGAACTAAGCGCTCCGCTAGTTCGAATTAAATTCGAACTACCGGAGCGCTAGTGTAGCGCCTATGAAAGTTAGTTCGAACTAACGTCCGTTAGTTCGAACTAACTTTGTAGTGTAGACATACCCTGAGATAGATATATCTCCATATATTTTTATCCCAGGAGAGGTCAGTGGGACATGCAAGAGACCACCCCTTTCTGAATTTGGCCCGTTGTCTGATGGAGCTTCCCCTACCATCACCTGGTTCCTGTAGAAAAGTATGCACGAAGGACACGGTGTTCAGAGGTGTAGAGAACTCTCTATTTCCTGAGTAGTCAATGGTGGCTACAAATACTCTTTGTCTGAAAACAAGGCCTCGACCCCTTTCTTCATGCATGTGTCCCAAATATTATCTCTGCCTGAACACAGCACTATGTTTATTCTGCCTGGCAGCTGCCACTGCTCTGCGCTTGATGGAGAATTGGGTCAGACAATTGGACAGCTCACTGCCCATGGGCATGGTATTCTGTATAAGCCATGTCTTGAGCATAAGGAGGTAAGAAAAGGAAATCTGGGATGCCCCCTTTGCATTGGTTATTCCCCAGCTGCTCCATCAGGCACCAAAGAAGTGAGGGGCATCCCTTAAAACCAGCCTAGCAGTGGAGTCTGAGGTTCTCCCAACCACCTTTCTGTCGCCTAGAGTGCAAACAACTCATCACAGATTGGGGGGCTGAACTCCTGAATGAGATCAGAATCCTCCTGGCCCTTTCTCCACAGTTTTACCCAATGAGCTGTCAGCGATGGATACGGTAATTCAGAGCAATAGAAACACAAACAGATGGGTAATTGACCTGCGTGCCTTCATTACACTGGAGTTCAGCACTGCTGTCCATGCCTTATACTCCTTTATCTGCCAGCCTGAAATCCCTGGACCTTTCATGAGGAAAGGTGATTTGTCCAGACTTCTTTCAAAAGGCTTACTCATAGTTATTGCTCTCCCCTGCATCATGCATTTCAGAAAATGACAGAGTCTGACAAGCAGAACTTACCAGGTACAAGGAAACAGCTGTGAATCCTATAGGGCCCTTGGCTGTCTGCAGGGAGCTCACAGAATTGGGTTTTAACAGAAAAGCACAGAAAAGTATCGTGTGTGTGTGTGTGTGTGTGAGAGAGAGAGAGAGAGAGAGAGAGTGAAATGGGGGTATAAATAGGGCTAAAGCTACATTGAAGTCAGTAGAACTGTGCCAGTCTGCCTGGCTGAGAACGGGACACATATTCCTTATGGTGGGATTTCCAAACAAGATGAAGGGAGTTAGACACCCAGCTCTCACTGAAATTGAATGGAACAGGGGCTCCAAAATCCCCTAGCCACTAGTATAGATTTTCCCCTATATTCTTTTCCTTTCTTCTCTATGGGTATGCCTAGACTGCAGGCTTTTTTTCGAAAAAACTTTACCTGCATCTAGACTGCTGCCGCGTTCTTTTGAAAGTAAATCGAAAGAACGCGACAGTTTTTTTGACCACACTAAACCTCGTTTTATGGGGAATAACGTCTTTTTTTGAAAGCGCTCTTTCGAAAAATAGCGCTATGTAATGCAAACTGTGCTTTTTCAAAAGAGAGAATCCAGACTGCCTGGGTGCTCTCTTTCGAAAGAGCAGCTTGTTTTTTCGAAAGTACTGGTTGTAGTCCAGACGCTCTTTTTCGAAAGACTTTTTTGAAAGTATCTTTCAAAAAAGCCTCTTTCAAAAGAGGCTTGCAGTCTAGATGTAGCCTTCAATCACATGATGATTCCCTATTGTATTCTCTCCCTCTAGGGCATGTGGTATTGGCCACTGTTGGCAGATAGGATACTGAGCTAGATGGACCTTTGGTCTGACCCAGTATGGCCTTTCTTTTGTTCTAATGTTATGATCTTTCTGTCTACCGCTCTCTAGCCTATTTCTTTCTTTCTTTCTTTCTTTCTTTCTTTCTTTCTTTCTTTCTTTCTTTCTTTCTTTCTTTCTTTCTTTCTTCACCATGAAAGATATTTAGAATAGTTTAATGCTTATTATATCTGAACTAGTGCTCAGTGTATGAGTCTGAAAAAGTCCATCAAAAAGAAGGTATAAAGGCCAGCACCTCTACCGGTGTAGAACATACTGTAGTGGAGTCTGCAGCTGAGCTGAATAGAGACAACTTCCTCCAGTGTGGCACAAAGGGGATTCTGGAGTCGGGGTACAGAAGCAGCCCGTCTCAGGCAGCTCTCTGGGGTTATAGGTTTTTAGCAGGCTTTTTGTAGCACCTAATAGCATAACAGTGTACATTTCACCTACAAGGCTCCCTCATGTCTCTTCTTGCATACTGTGGTGTATTTTCCAAGGCTTGTGAGATGACATCCCATGACCTCCTTAAGGCCAGCAGGTGCAGTCTGATCTGAGCTTAGCAGTTGCACTGTGCTTGAGGAATAAATTTTATACCTCAAATTTCTTGCTCACAACAACTAGGGAAGAAATTTTACAGCAACTTTTAATTCCTCTGCATCACCTTCCCAAGTTGTTAATGACACAGGTTTAAAAAACAAAACAAAACAGCAACCCAGCACACTGATTTGCATATTCCCTGCTTTTGTCTCTGTGCCAGGTCTCCAGATCATCTTCCCGCAGTATTTACAAGAGAAATTTGTCCAGTCTGCATTGAGTTACATCATGTGCAATGGAGAGGGGGAATATGTGTGTCAGAACAGCCAGTGCGGTTGCCAGTGTGCTGAAGAATTCCCACAATGCAACTGTCCCATCACTGACATTCAAATCATGGAGTACACACTGGCAAACATGGCCAAGTCCTGGACAGAAGCGTATAAAGATTTGGAGAATTCAGGTAAGCAGGGAATGGGGCTATTTTCCAGTGTCTGTGTTTTTTTAAAAACAACAAGGAGTCCGGTGGCACCATACCTACTAACAGATTTATTTGGGCATACGCTTCTGTGGGAAAAAACATTTTGTCACATCTGATGAAGTAGTTTTTATCCACGGAAACGTATGGCCAAATAAATGTATTAGTCTTTAAAGGGCCACAGGACTCCCTGTTGTTTTTTCAGACAGATACTGGTATGGCCCCTCTGAGATGTATGGTTTTGTTGTTTGTTTTAATAATGATAAGAACAAGGGCTGTTAGGAAAATAAGTTTCTCTTCCAGCCAAAAGAAAAATCCACTGCCATCTCCTCAAAAGAAAAACATCTCCAAATATTTTGGTCAAATATCTGAAAGTTTCTGGTTTTCATATTTTATTTTTTTGATAAAAATTGGAATTTTTCATTTAAAGTAGACTTCCACTGAAAAATGCTTGTTTGGTTGAAAATCCAGTACTAGTTGTGATGGAAAATTCTCTACTGCCCAGTTAGCATCCCAAAAATCTATTTCACCATTACATGTTGGGGATATTTATGTTCATTATAGATTAGCCACAATGTGGAGGGTACAGAATGTACCTTTAGCTCTCCCTGAATTGCATGCTCCTTGTTGGTGTCCTGAAAGCTCATGTGCATATATCAAGGAGCTGAGTAAACTCTTCTGTGACAGAGGTGTTCTGTGTAGAGATGGACAAAAAAATCCCCACATGTTTGTGTATCTGATGACCTGAAGTTTCTGAATTTCATATGGCTCCATTGGTAATTCATCTTCATGATGCTGGTGTATCAGATCTGAACTTGGTGCAGTATCAGACTGACAAAAGAATAATGTCTTTAGGGGTTTTGAGTGGGATGCAGGAGCATTGTCTCTTGTTACAGCTATGAAGAAGATACAGTAAGTGCACCACACAGCAGACACCTCAGCCCAAAAAGGTGCTCACCCCTGCCTCTGCACACCACTTTTGAAGAGGGAATTAATTCATGAAGTGCTAACTAATCCCCTTCCCCGCTCACCACAGGCACTTGTCAGTGCTTGAAGCCAAATTATACCTGCCTCCGGCATGGGAATGCAAGTTGTCAGGGAGGGGCTGCCTTCCTAAAGGCTTTTCTTGTGGAACTGTGTGACAATACATGTATCAGGAGCAAATTCAGAGCATGTTTGGCTTTTGGCCAGATCTGCTGTGGGCTTGAAATTAATGGTGTTTCATGCAATTTGGTGCTTAAATCGAAACTGCTCTATTCAGGCTCTGAATTTACAAATGTTCCTTTGTCCAATGAGGAAATGGCATGGATAAAATGCTTTTTATGAAAACCTCCCTGAGGGGACTTTCACAGCAGCCTACTCATGCTTCTCAACTAGGCCTTTAATACATGTTGTTTTGCAGGCTCCTGACCCCTTGATGACCTAATTTAGGTGCCCTTTAGTGTGCCCCAAATGATTTGCCAAGGGCTTGTCTATCTGTCAGTGCCTGGAAACTGCATTCACTGCTCTTCCAACTCTTTCTGCTCCCACACTGATTCTACACCTGAGGAACCATTGGGTCAATCCTTAGCTGGAGAAATCAGCATTGTCAGTGGAGCTACGCCAGTTTACATTTCCTGAGGGATAGGTGATCCACAGTGACATAAATGGAGTTGCTCCTTGTTTAAATTGGCAAAAGAGGAGAATCAGAATCTCACCTCATAACCAGTGTTGCTGTTAAAGGCCCCGTGCCGTTTTTGCAAGTGTAGAGGTGCTAAAACTGGCCAGAGTTGTCACAGTTGACTATATTCTGTCTCCCTAAATTCCCCTTACAGTTTATTTTGAATTTTCTCATTTCATGTGCTAAATTTGGAATGTTGTGTTCCAATGCACACTTCAGTGGCTGCCATGTTCCTTCCCAGAGATGGAAGCTTTTCCATAATGCCTGAAGTGAAACCTATTTGTACTTTGTATATCAATTTGGTACATTTCGTTCTTCAATTTGTTACACTCCCTATAAAGTATTCATAGAATCATAGAATCACAGGGTTGGAAGAGACCTCAGGAGGTCATCGAGTCCAATCCCCTGCCCAAAGCAGGGCCAACCCCAAATAAATCATCCCAGCCAGGACTTTGTTAAGCCAGGACTTGAAAACCTTTAGGGATGGAGATTCCACCACCTCCCTATGTAACCCAGTCCAGTGCTTCACCACCCTCCTACTAAAATAGTTTTTCCTAATATCCAGCTTAGACCTCCCTCACTGTAACTTGAGACCATTGTTCCTTGTTCTGCCATCTGTCACTACTGAGAACAGTCTCTCTCCATCCTCTTTGGAATCCAGCTTCAGGTATTTGAAGGCTGCTCTCAAATCCCCCCTCACTCCTCTCTTCTGTAGGCTAAATAAGCCCAACTCCCTCAGCCGCTTCTTGTAAGTCGTGTGCTAGCCCCCTAATCATTTTGGTTGCCCTCAGCTGGGCTTTCTCCAATGCGTCCACATCTTTTCTGTAATGGGGGACCCAGAATTGGATGCAATACTCCAGGGCTACATCTACACTGGCCCCTTCTCCGGAAGAGGCATGCTAATTTCGAACTTTGGAATAGGGAAATCCGCGGGGGATTTAAATATCCCCCGTGGGATTTAAATAAACATGACCACCGCTTTTTTTCCGGCTTGGGGAAAAGCCGGAAAAGAGCATCTAGACTGGTGTGATCCTCCGGAATAAAGCCCTTTTCCAGAGGATGTCTTATTCCTACTTGCAGACGCTCTTTTCCGGATTTTCCCCAAGCCGGAAAAAAAGCGGTGGTCATGTTTATTTAAATCCCACGGGGGATATTTAAATCCCCCGCGGATTTCCCTATTCCAAAGTTCGAAATTAGCATGCCTCTTCCGGAGAAGGGGCCAGTGTAGACGTAGCCCAGTTGTGGCCTCACCAGCACCAAATAAAACGGAATAATCATTTCTCTAGATCTGCTGGCAATGCTCCTCCTAATGCACCCTAATATGCCGTTAGTCTTCTTGGCTACAAGGGCACACTGATGACTCATATCCAGCTTCTCATCCACTGCAATCCCCAGGTCCTTTTCTGTTAAACTGCTACCTAGCCCTTCGCTCCCTTGGGATTCTTCTGTCCCAAGTGCAGGACTCGGATTGATGTCTTTGGCCCAATCCTTCAGTTTGCCTAGGTCACTCTGGACCCTATCCTTACCCTCCAACATATTTACCTCTCCCCCTGGCTTAGTGTCACCCTGAAGATGCAATCCACCCCCTCATCCAGGTCATTAATAAAGATGTTGATCAAAACTGTCGCCAGAACAACCCCTGGGACACTACGCTTGAAACCGATTGCCAACCAGACCTCGAGCCGTTGCTCACTATTCATTGAGCCTGATGATCTAGCCAGCTTTCTATCCACCTTATAGACCATTTATCCAGTCCATACTACCTTAACTTGCTGGCAAGAATATGGAAAAAGGCAAATGTAGTGCCCATCTTTTAAAAAGGGAAGAAGGACAATTCAGGGAACTACGGACTGGTCAGCCTCACCTCAGCCCCTGGAAAAATCATGGAGGGGATCCTCAAGGAATCCATTTTGAAGCACTTGGAAGAGGATAAAGTGATCAGGAATAGTCAACAGGAGAGGCCATATCAAAAGCTTTGCTACAGTCAAGATATATCACATCCACTGACTTCCCCATGTCGACAGAGCCAGTTACCTCATCATAGAAGCTAATCAGATTGGTCAGGGATGACTTGCCCTTTGTGAATCCATGTTGATTATTCCTGATCACTTTATCCTCTTCCAAGTGCTTCAAAATGGATTCCTTGAGGATCCCCTCCATGATTTTTCCAGGGGCTGAGGTGAGGCTGACCAGTCCGTAGTTCCCTGAATTGTCCTTCTTCCCTTTTTAAAAGATGGGCACTACATTTGCCTTTTTCCAATCGTCCAGGACCTCCCCCGGTTTCAAAGATAATGGCCAATGGCTCTGCAATGACATCTGCGAACTCCCTTAGCACCCTTGGGTGCATTAAATTAAATTGGGTGCCCCTTGGATTTTTGTATATCCAACTTTTCTAAATAGTTCTTAACTTGTTCTTTCTCCATGGGGTGTGTGTGGGGCGGGGGGAGAACAGGGAGGAGCTTCCCACCTCCTTCCCATACCATGTTGCCTAGTGCAGTAGTCTGGGAGCTGACCTTGTCTGTAAAGACAGAGGCAAAAAAGGCTTTGAGTACTACAGCTTTTCCCACATCATCCATCACTAGGTTGCCTCACCCATCCAGTATGTTTCCTACTCCTTTCCTGATCACCCTCTTATTGCTAACACACCTGTAGAAACCTTCCTTGTTACCCTTTACATCCCTTGCTAGCTGCAATTCCAATTCTGCTTTGGCCTTTCTGATTACACCCCTGCATGTTCGAGCAATATATTTATCCTCCTCCCTCATCAGCTGACCAAATTTCCATTCCTTGTAAACTTTCTTCTTGTGTTTAAGCTCGCCAAAGGATTTCACTGCTAAGCCAAACTGGTCACCTACCATATTTGCTTTTCTTAATGTGCAGTGGTGGGATGGTGTGTTCCTGCACCTTCAATAAGGTTTCTTCAAAATACTGCCAGCTCTTCTGGATTCCTTTCCCCTTCATGTTAGCACCCCAGAGGATCCTGCCCATCAGCTCCCTGAGGGAGTCAGAGTCTGCCTTTCTGAAGTCCAGGGTCTGTAGTTTGCTGCTCTCCTTTCTTCCTTTGGTTAGGATCCTGAAATCAACCATCTCATTCCTTGAGGTAAAAAGTACTATTTCATTTAAGTTTGAATTAGCAATTTGCTTCAGTGTGTTAAAATTTTTTCCTTATTTAGTTAGTCATCATCCATGGAAAAACATTTTCATAAACATCTAGGCTGTGTCTAGACTGCATCCCTTTTCCGTAAAAGGGATGCAAATTAGACACATCGCAATTGCAAATGAAGTGGGGATTTAAATCCTCCCTGCTTCATTTTCATAAACATGG